TTATTGTAATAATCAATAGGTAATTGAGCAAAGCACGAATGTTTCAAGAGATTCCCATGTTGATTCCCTTGTTGAAACCAAACGTTTAACAGGAATCAGTCCGTCCAAAAACTAGGTGTGATTAAAACCAACAAGCTGTCACTGAAGGCCAGTCTGAATCTAAATCTTCAAGGGTCATTTATATTGCGCTGTCTCCAAGCAATGAAGGTATGCTCAAAGCGCATCAACACATTATTACCCCGGATAACCCAAGCTGCCTGTTAAGCGCTAGAAGTCCAGAGGCCCAGATAAGCTGCGTATCCGGGTAAAATACGCATAGAAAATTTCCAATTACGCATTGAAAAATAATTGTTGCGTACCAATAACGCATTTAAACTGTTAGATACGCAAAGAGTTTAAAACAAATGCGTACGGAATATACTTATAAAAATCGCTTGCGTAATGAAAAAGACATCGATTGCTATCAATTTGTACTGTTAGTATAGGACAAGTGTTGTACTGTCAGTATAGGATGACTGATTTTTTATGAAATCATTTCCCTTATATTTAAGTTGGGTTTGAGTAGGTATCACATAAGGCAAAACATACCTGCTTAGTAAACTTGCTCAATGACACTTAGGTGTGTAAAATGACTGAAATACGCACATATTTGAAGCAGTGGGTAACGGAAAATGAAATACTCACTCAACATTCATAATACCCACTCCAAAAAAATACATTGGGTATAGTACCCACATCAGCTAAATCTTATCTGGAGCTCTGTTAGAAGGTTATAGTCACATGACATATCCCACCGGGTATCCATTTTCTGCTGGGTGAACGGATACAATTGGTATTCTCTCAGGGAAATCAACTCCGCCTTTACAAATAACAAGGACTAAGGTCAACCTGTATTTTTCATATATGTTTAAGTATTTTCTTCACTTACTTTGGGTGGTATAAGTGGTTCACATTAGTGTGGGTCATTCACATCGACGAGGTAGTCTGTGAGGTCATGTATATGAGATAAAGCTATGCCTGTTGACGGAGTCAAGCCACCCAAAAATTAGTTACTAAGCACCGATACACGAAATCCTAAGGTCGACAGAGCCATAGAAACAGTTGCTAAGCACTGATACACGGTCGCTAGGAGCGCCTCTTTGGTAGATAACGTGGAAACGGTCGCTAGGCACTGGCGCATTAACGCCCCTCTCCGGTCTACACATGGAAACGGTCGCTAGGCACTGGCGCATTAATGCCCCTCTCCGGTAGAGACATGGAAACGGTCGCTAGGCACTGCTGCATTAATGCCCCTCTCCGGTAGAGACATGGAAACGGTCGCTAGGCACTGGCGCATTAATGCCCCTCTCCGGTAGAGACATGGAAACGGTCGCTAGGCACTGGTGCATTAATGCCCCTCTCCGGTAGAGACATGGAAACGGTCGCTAGGCACTGGCGCATTAATGCCCCTCTCCGGTAGAGACATGGAAACGGTCGCTAGGCACTGGCGCATTAATGCCCCTCTCCGGTAGAGACATGGAAACGGTCGCTAGGTCGGCTTAATGGCATGGAAACTGGCGCATTAATGCCCCTCTCCGGTAGAGACATGGAAACGGTCGCTAGGCACTGGCGCATTAATGCCCTCTCCGGTTAATGCCCTCTCGGTAGAGACATGGAAACGGTCGCTAGGCACTGGCGCATTAATGCCCCTCTCCGGTAGAGACATGGAAACGGTCGCTAGGCACTGGCGCATTAATGCCCCTTTCAGGTAGAGACATGGAAACGGTCGCTAGGCACTGGCGCATTAATGCCCCTCTCCGGTAGAGACATGGAAACGGTCGCTAGGCACTGGCGCATTAATGCCCCTCCGGTAGAGACATGGAAACGGTCGCTAGGCACTGGCGCATTAATGCCCCTCCGGTAGAGACATGGAAACGGTCGCTAGGCACTGGCGCATTAATGCCCCTCCGGTAGAGACATGGAAACGGTCGCTAGGTACTGGCGCATTAATGCCCTCTCCGGTAGAGACATGGAAACGGTCGCTAGGTACTGGCGCATTAATGCCCCTCTCAGGTAGAGACATGGAAACGGTCGCTAGTCACTGGCGCATTAATGCCCCTCTCCGGTAGAGACATGGAAATGGTCGCTAGGTACTGGCGCATTAATGCCCCTTTCAGGTAGAGACATGGAAATGGTCGCTAGGTACTGGTGCATTAATGCCCCTCTCCGGTAGAGACATGGAAACGGTCGCTAGTCACTGGCGCATTAATGCCCCTCTCCGGTAGAGACATGGAAACGGTCGCTAGGTACTGGCGCATTAATGCCCCTCTCCGGTAGAGACATGGAAAAGGTCGCTAGGTACTGATGCATTAATGCCCCTTTCAGGTAGAGACATGGAAACGGTCGCTAGTCACTGGTGCATTAATGCCCCGGAGAGGTAGAGACATGGAAACGGTCGCTAGTCACTGGCGCATTAATGCCCCTCTCCGGTAGAGACATGGAAATGGTCGCTAGGTACTGGCGCATTAATGCCCCTTTCAGGTAGAGACATGGAAATGGTCGCTAGGTACTGGTGCATTAATGCCCCGGAGAGGTAGAGACATGGAAACGGTCGCTAGGTACTGGCGAATTAATGCCCCGGAGAGGTAGAGACATGGAAACGGTCGCTAGGCACTGGCACATTAATGCCCCTCTCCGGTAGAGAAATGGGAAAAAATGCGGTAAAATGTTGCGGCAAAGTCGGGTGACGCTGACCGGTTGTCAGTCAGCTGTAAAACTAAAAAAAATATATGTACATAAGGTGTACAACATTTGGACACCAAAGGGAACATCTGGAACGATTGCGGCAACTTCTTTGAGAGTTTAATTTACAAACAAATGGCGCAAGTAGACGCTGCGACCATCAAGGTATCCTCGACTCAAGACAAACAGCTCATAGTGATACTTCGTCTTAAATGGTAGATCGACGTAATAGTGTTCGAGATAACCAGGTCCAACTGTTTTGTTTTGGATAGAAACACAGTTAATATTTCGCCATGATGTTGTATCATCAAGAAAACAACGAATGATTCGTATCCATAACACAGTCAAATGCATGGGATGCATGTTAAACGATAAATTTACTGTTTAAATAATCATCAATTAGACCATATTCGACCCAGCTTTACATTATCATACACATAAAAGTCTCGCAAATAAAACATCGGCTCACAGAAATGGTCCACATTCTTGAAATGCGTTTTCTGAAGTTAGACAGCTCATAAGCCTCGAGTTTAGTACCAGTCTGGCATACGGTGTCACCGAGGTCACTGCCTAGAGACCACACTGGTTACATAGGGCTTGGGGGTAACTGAACCACAGACGGGGAGACAGGGTGTGCCCCTCTCAAAACTACACGTGAGAAAGTGCCATAACCCGTATAGATATCTAGCAAGTCTATATTTTCCCCCACGCCATTACAATACAGCAGAAAGGTTTCTTAATTCAATCTGGTGGCAGGGGCCGACTTAGTCCCGTAGCCTCCGCCGAGCACTTTCTGCAGTGCACAATTCCACACGAAGCAAGTCTAGATTTTCCTCTGGTTTTGAATCTCCCATCTCACTGCGGCCCCTCTTCAATTTAAATAGAATAATCTGGATTTTCCTTATTATATATATATTCAGAGACGGCTACATGGAAAGGGTGGTCAGACTAATGCAATATACTGGTCAATGGCAGGAATATGGCTGGATAGACGTTAACCAACAAGGAAAACCAATCTGAGAATCGTACCATTGCAGCCATTCAGGGGATGTTATATCGACTTCCCTTGGGCCAGCCATGATGTAACACGATACACTGTATACAGAAGTATTACGGACTACAAACTTCCAGGAATAACTAGCATCGTCTTATGTTTCACTGTTAATAAGGACGGATGTACTAAAAACCCAGCTTCATATTTTCCGAACTAGAACTACCACTTGTGTACACCGATAATGAAACAGGAAGTCGCTTTCACTTTCTGGGAAACACTCGTAGTTCTTCCGAGACTCCGGTTCCTATTACTGCGTATAAACTGAATCAGTATCGTAAAACGAAGGCACTTGTCCCTTTGTCCATTGACTTTCCTTGACCCATGTGTGGCGTCAGATCCCAAGATCCGAGGTCTGCCCGCCCACCCTCTTATACATAATGTCCAGTCACTGAAGTACTAAAACAGAAAGATGCCCACACGAAAACACCTAGACTTTCAATCAACACTTATTCTTTAAACATAATATTTATAGAAAAAAAATCCATTGAAATTGAAATGGAGCCTGAGTGAAAGGGGAAATTCTGGAGTTTTGACAAGAATCAATATCTCTCTCTCCCTGTGTGTGTGTGAGAGAGAGACACAATAGGAGTGTCTCAACAATACAGTACACTTCTGCAACCAAGCCGTAGAGGTGAAAACATGTTGTGGATGTGAATGGGTCCAGGGAATTTATCATAATAAAGTGCCCACATCACCCCCTTCCCCGTGATATTGCATACACAGGGTCCTGCTTCAGAGATGTACACACAGTATATCCTAGTGAATAACACAGTGGCTTTACTAATATATCTTGCAAATATTCATCACAAAAAGGGATGCACCAGGACAACCAACTGCAGTTGTATTCAATGCTCAAAACAAGTTAAAGAAGACTTCACACTCTCAAGTTACTACAGTTAATTTGTGACAGGTCATCGTATCCCAATTGCATAGATTGATGCTCATGATGTTGATCACTGGAATGTCAGGTCCAGACTCAGTTATTTACATACCGTCGCCATATAGCTGGAATGTGCTGAGTGCTCACTAACTTGTGACAGATTAACTATAGTAATGTAAAAAGAGTCAAGTGTTCCTTAACTACTTGTGAGTAGTATAATATCAGCAATCCTGCTTCCATTATACTATACCCGCCTGAGAACCCAGTCTCTTGTAACCATGAGGCACTAAAGGCGTGAAGTCAGTACCTTTTGACTGCTGTATACTTAAAAACAAATACAGGAAGTATATAATTCATATTTTATTAAAAATAATTTAAATTTTATATACACAACTAATCTACATAACAAAAACAATATATTTACAAAAGCAATACATCGCTACATCAACCAGTTACCAAACTTATTACACAGTTTCAGTCAGCACAATCTTGGATCTTTGAGAATTGTTTTACTTTTGTGAACATTTTGTACATAACTTTATCCATATGATTTTCCCTAACAAATTATGATATTTTGTTTAACATATAAGATGTTTGCAGGTGTTGATTTAGGTGGAGATATAAGGAAGTTATTCATCTATTTACTGGGGTCAAAACGTTTTTTTGTTCTTATCAATAATAGACAGGATGTATGCTTTGGACTTAGCATTCAGTTAGTTAACTTACTTTTTCTTATCAATTTTGAGGCCATTCTCATCAAATTGTAGCTCAAAATTAAGTGGTAGTGAAAATCAAATAAATTTACAAATCTATTTTCTGTGGTCATTTTGGTTCTGGTGGATCATTAAACATATGAAAAGAATATCAGCTAAGTGTTTTAAAATTGAGTTGATGGGTATTTTCTCAAAAGTGTCTGCAACAGCCATGATTAACTGCCAGTGACAATCTATCAAAAATACCTATCTTAACTTTGACTTTCAATTTGTCTTGTCAGTTCAAATATATTTCTGAAATTTGAAAGACAAATTTCAAGCTACATCTTTGATCAATGAAAGAGTATGTACACTGTCCATATTTCCTAAGCGCTTATTGACCCGTTGAGCTAGTCAATATTTACGATGGGGAAAGCATTCCTTTGAACCCTCTGCGAAAAGAGCATCATGCTTTGGGGACAGTGTTATGATATACTGTTTTCCTTCCACCAAATCATCTATGAATAAAGTAATATTCACAACAAAAAGAAGTATTTAGAACATTAAGAAAAATCAAAGATCCAAGATATGCACTGCCATTCTATCCAATGTACATGAACTGGTTGAATGTAGGTGGCGCTGAACGGAATTACGCCTGGTGTTGGACCCGTAACACCCAGATGGCGAGTATCTATCGACATCAACTGCTTTCAGAATGTTTCAATTGTCTATGGGAGTCCTTCATTTCTCGGAACCTCAACTTTGAGAAGAACCCTGGCATAATTTGTCGTCAGTAAGGTGGCCCCTCAGTGGCTGTTGTTGTTCCACAAATAACTCACTCTCAGACAGGCCCTAACATCATTAGGGCCGGGCCTAAGAGGGTCAGTTGTATCCACTACACAAGGGTAGTGAAGATGGTTTACTCATCGAAATGAGAATCTCGAAATTTACCAACTCTTGAAGTCAGCTTTTTCTCTATCGCAACGACAAAGGCTCACCAGCTATGCAGAAATCGTCAATCATCTGAAAACAGAAATAAAATACATCAGCAAGAGTGTTACAATGACCATGTTTCAGTAAAATATCCTTTCCTAATAATTTTCTGAAGTCAATGACAAAAGATGAATAACTCACACTGACAGGAAAATGTTTATGAATGAAACTTGGATTTTTGTTTTCAACTTACATCTTCATCTTCATCTTCTGTGTCCTCCTGCAAGCTGGTACAATCTGCACCATGGGCTTGGAGAATTCCGACAACATCTCCAAACTTCCTTCCTGCTGCTAGGACAATGGGGGTCAGCCCACCGTATGTGCAGCTGTCCAAGTTGAGGCGTTTGCATCCCAAGAGAAACTCCAGCAGAATTCGGTTGCCAGTCTCAGCAGCATAATGGAGGACAGTGCGACCGCTTTTGCCATCCTGCAGAATCAGAATTTCATATATATATTAAAATTAGAATTATATGTTCTTTTTGAACTGACCAGACTTCTTAAAATAAATGACATATTTAGCAAAATAATGCTTTCACAGATATTAGTTAGAACATTTTTCCCTATTAATAAATGTGGGAATAACTTACCTGGGCATTTACTTTGGCTGCTTTTTTAATGAGTGACTCCATGACCTTCGTATGTGTTCCTAGAGCTGAAAGATGGAGACAGGTGTGACCATCATAGTTCTTTGCTTCAAGGTCCTGTGGAACTCTCTGGTAAGGGATTTCGTATTTGTTGTCTTGTGTTTCTTCATAGCATACTGGTTTCAACAAATGGTTGACAATCTCGTGGTAACCTTCACGAGCTGCTATGTGAAGGGGTGTGTTGCCATGGAGATCCCTAACATCCACTGAAGCTCCAGCAGCCATCAGCCGCCTGACAATCTTCTCTTGCCTTGTGATGACAGCCAGGTGAAGTGGGGTTTGAAGAAGAGTGTTGACAAAGTTTAACCATTCATGATTTGGTGCCAAGTTGATCAACTGCAGTGCAATTGACTCCGCCAGTTGAATGATTGCCATGTGAAGTTGTCTGTAAATAAAATATATCAAATAAACAACATGTACATATGTCAAATTAATTTAAATAATTTAGTAATGTATCAAATATTTGAAGGGCATTTAGAGCATTTAGTATAAATGTATGATTTCAAAACATAACTGCTTTTAGTACATTTTTATTAGCAACTGTTGTCTTGTACCAAATCAGTGAATCAATATTTGAGACTACACATTTTAAAAAAATTATATTCTTAAAAAATTGCTTAATTACCCTGGGACACGCCCAGATATTAAAAAATAAAATTTTCCATCATCAGTAATAAGCTCTATTATTGATCTCAGATGGGTTTGTTTGGCTCACGTCACCAGGACGCTGAATGTACGCCATGACATTGACAACTATCTATGACGCATTTGGACTTTCCCGTGACAAAAGATCTTTAGGTTTTTACTAATACTACATCGCAGTTGGGCCTTTCCACCGCGCTATTTGCGAACCCACGTAATAACCGACACACAAAGGGGACTTTGACCTCAATGGCTGCGCAAAACTGTTCTGCGCATGATACATCGCTTCAACGGCCCGCACTGCGCTATGGTACAGAACGCCTCCATTAACCTACAGCAAAGGCTTACTCCTTTGTCTATGTAAAGTGCATTAAAATAAATAAAATACATGACAATAAACAAACAATTGCACTTACGTGTCGCCATCGTCATCTTGCATGTATGCTTCTCTCGCTTCATGTGAAACCCCGGGTAAACAGTAGACATGCCCTCTAATTTCTTCAACTGACCGACCAAACTCTTCTCCCCATGTTGTGTGAAAGTCTGTGATAGATTTACTATGGTATCCATCGTCTTCTGGTGGTGTTTCCAAGCACTGTTTGTTTTCTGACTTCACTTCTGGCTCCGAAATCTGCATCTTGGTAATATCCTCAAGTAATGACCTGTCCACCATGTCATTGTCGCTGATATCGTCTGTCGATTTCAAACTCTGTTCAAATGAATATATACCAGAATCCTCTCTCTGTCCGTCTGTTTTCATAGAGGGATGAATGAACCTCTTCAGTTCTGGGCGAATATTTGCAATCGCGCTATAGCCAGATGGAGGATCATGCGCGGCGCAGTCAACTTGAAGATCGTCCTTATCCTCCATATTGAGAGAGTAGTCGTTGGTGCGGTACATTATCCGTCTCGTACGAAGGTGTGTCTGTACCAGTTCACGAATCGATTAGAACCTCTGTCCTCTCAAACCAGATAGATGCCACTGGCTGGGGTGCGCGGTTATTATATATCCTATGCTTGTGGTAAAACCCAAAGGAAGAAACCACCAGGATATAATGAGGCGCTCGCCCAGAATTTTCCGAGCTGTTGTCCACGTGACCTTAGACGGGCCTTGTAAGGAAGAAGGGGAATCCCCTAGTTGTTCTGCAGTCATTGGCTGACGTTAATGCACTTATGTAGCACTCATACTTCGCCCGTAAGCAAGTTCGACTTTGTCATGCACAAGATTTCACGACTGCGGATGATTATCGTTTGTATTGGCAAAATAGCAATGTTATCTAAACTCATGACAAAAACTCACGCTGCTGTAAACTATTCTGACAAATGATAATTGTTGATTAGTTAGATTGATTTATAATATAACAATATTATAGATACCATATAGTACAATGTATAAAATTAAACACATTAAATGATTCAGTTTAATACAAGTATGAGACCAAGAAGTAAAACAACATTACTGAATCATAAACGTTAAATAAATTCTGGAAAAAGTGCAGCAATATTAATTTTGGAATAATGAACTTTCGGATTGACATGGTGGGTTTTACAATGCGTTGTGATCGAAAGGATGTTTAAAATCTCTACTTCTTTCTGACCGGAATTTCGGTGTAGCTTGGCTAGTTTTGCCTGGGGGTACTGACTTTCAAAGCAGAAAAAAATGTGCGAAGATTGAAGAATTCTTGTCATTCGATATTTAATAATATTTATTTACCAAAAAAGATAATTCAGTAAAACTTAATAAAAATAACCCCGTCAATTTCTCTACAACCTGTTCGAGTTCCGGAATTACTCGAGTGACCCCGAATGGGTCGGAATGTTGACTTTCCCAGTGAGTTATTTTATAACCGAATGAAACATATATGTATATGTTACAGAACATATAAGGACAAACGTGGTATATATTACAGAATATGTAAGGACAAACGGGGTATATATTGCAGAATATATAAGGACACACGTGGTATATATTACGATTGACTCAATGGCGGCGACTTTCGTGGAAACCTTGTTGGAAATGCAGTAACTTTATCTCCGTCTGTACTGCATACAACAATAAACACTAGCCAAGTATTTTGTTGTTTATCGTAATTTGTCGGGTTACCCATGAAATATTTTTCTGCTTGTATTCCGATAGTACTGCTTCTCGTATCATCGAAAGATTTTTGTGAAAATATTCAAAATATATCAAAAGTCCGGTTTGAGAACTCGTACATTGAAAATATAACTACAGTGCCCCCTGGTTATACCGCCCCTGGTTATAATGCCACCTGGATATAATGTCATGTTTTTGCCACAACGGATTTCCTGCCTATATAATACCCTGGTTATGCTGCCAAACTGGATATAATGCCATTTGTGAATGGTTTTTGGAACAATAAGTCATTTCCCCCTGGTTATAATGCCAATATTACACTGGCTGCATGTTGTATACTTTCCTCAACTGGTTAATTGACATGACTCAAATTAATTGACTAAACTCATTAATATTGTAAGTAGTCATGTAATCCCAGATGGGATAACACATGTGACAATACACTTCCTGCCTCCTACAACAACAAGTCACCTGCAGCCCCTAGATGCTGGGATTATCCAGTCATTCAAGGCTCATTACAGGAGACATCAGCTCAATCATCTTGTTGATTGCATAGAGCCGCTAACTGTTCTACCTGGGTATAATGCCACCCTGGATATAATGCCCTATTTTCTCCTGGACAAACGGTGGCAATATAACCAGGGTATACTGTATAAATAAGGACAGAAGACCCATGCATCCTCTGTGAAAGTGAGCGAATACGGCTCTTCGTTCCATGACGAACACCAACTGTGTCAAAAAGGTGCTTGAGTTGTCGAAGTTGTCGAAGTCCCCCATACTGTTAAAACTTCAATCTTACATTCAGCCACAAATCTTACAGATTTCGAATCAGTATTTATTCTTATTGTTCCTGTGTGTAGTAGCAGTGACAGGTGTCGACATGCACACACGCGTGTTTGCTATTTAAAAGGTGGGTGCTGCTGTAAATAGCCTTAATTACTGAATACCATTAGCAGCATCACTGCGGTCATCATTGTGCCCGACCTTCTGACAGCTCAGAGACAGTACCACCACCGGTATACATTGTATTCAGGGGGAAATTAGTCTAGGCAGCGTCATTTGCCGCGCCGTGAGTTTGCGTCCCTTAGCCGTTCAAGGATACGCTTTCGAAATTCATCTTTCATTATCTCTCAGCTCGAGGATCATTAGTCGTCCTCGTTGTTGTTGTCAGCAACTGTGTTATTTCACTATCATTCTCAGCTACCTTTTTGTTCACCACTGCATTCAGCAGCCTAGTGGTTAAGCGTTCGCTCGTCACGCTGGGAACCCGGGTTCGACTCCCCACATGGGTACAATGTGTGAAACATTTCTGACGTTCCCCGCCGCGATATTGCTGGATTATTACTAAAAGCGGCGTAAAACTAAGCTCACTCACTCAGCCAGCAGAATCATGATCACTAACTGCCCCATCGACATTACTGTCGTCCACCTTCATCATCACCATAATCATCAGCACCATCACTGACATCTGGTGAGTGAGTGAGTTTAGTTTTACGCCGCACTCAGCAATATTCCAGCTATATGGTGTCGGTCTGTAAACAATCGAGTCTGGATCAGACAGTCCAGTGATCAACAGCATGAGCATCGATCTGCGCAATTAGGATACGATGACATGTGTCAACCAAGTCAGCGAGCCTGACCACTCGATCCCGTTAGTCGTCTCTTACGACAAGCATGGGTTACTGAAGATCAATATTCTAACCCGGACCTTCCCGGGTCCACTGAACTCTTGCATTTTGCTGTCGTCACCCCTTCTCTACAATCAGTACTCGGTGATCAGTCACTTGTCAATGCTTTTTAATGAAATTAGGGAAATGTAGTTATGTTTGGAAACTTAAACAGTATAATTCGATACGTAACTAATATACTTTATTACTTCATGAATGCATTCTGCTCTGCAAATAGTAAATTTAAATACTTCGAGGGTATACACATGTGTTTCAAATATTCATGGATACATATTGCTACACCATGAGTATACAGGGATATTCCAGGAGTACACCTTCATACTCAACAGTGTACAAGTACACTCCACGTTTATAGTACATCAATAGTCACAGCAAGTCCGACATGACTCTAGGCACATCGGTGACTTTCGTGGTCTATATTTAGCAACGGGTTATCCCGAAGGTGTACAATTTACGACTGTGGAAAGACAAGAAGACATCTCGTGCAAGGGGTCACGTTCGGGTTTTATCCCTAACTTTCACATTCCCTTCAGGTTCTAGCTTCACGTACGATTTATATCGGTGGTGTCACCTGATCTGCACAGAGATGAACAGTCTTCATGAAATATATTTATGATTATGATTATTGTCGTTGTTGCTGCTGTTGTTGTTGTTAGCAGCAGCAGCAGCAGTAGCAGTAGTAGTAGTAGTAGTAGTAGTAGTAGTAGTAGTAGTAGTAGTAGTAGTAGTAGAAGCAGCAAAATATGTAACAATAGCAGTAGCACCACCAGCAGTAGTAGTAGTTGTTGTGGTGGTCTTTTACGTTATCGTCGTCACTGATATAGGCTGAAGTACACGTGCAATGACAAACTTAGAGTCTCCAGATCTTGCTGAAAGGCAGTGCTATGTTGTATGTTTGAAGTATGAAGAAAACAAGCTGTACTTTAAACCTGTACACAGCGTTGTGTAGATGCATCATTTGTCATTAACTGAGTAACACACGTGATTACACTTGAATCGTCCTTGCTGAAACGGCCAATGTTTCGGTTAATTCATGTTCTGTGTCGATTATACCAGATATTTCAGAAATGTTTTGGGCGAGCGAGAAATCTCCTATTTTGCAACTAAGTGGGACCCAAAATGAGAAGAAAATGCATTCCATTTACAACATTGTGTTTATGAGTAAGAAACGAATTAGTAAGACCATGGTATATGGCGAGAAGATGGAATCCAGAGAAGATTGATATACAATATACATTGGAGGATCATCGTTGATCGAGGTAACACGAATATAATTGATAACTTGCTGTGGTAAATCTGGAAAATCACTATAGATGTCCGTTATTATGTGGTGACATGTCTCACTCATTTGGTGTTAATTCCTCATAAGATGCGTTGAAATTCTGTCCCCACAGACTACTGATTATTTCTGTTATCACTTCCTAACCTTTCAAGGTGATATTTATTGCCACCATAAAATAGCTTCAAAATTCGTTCAAATTGCATGAAGGCTTCAGATATTCCCCGAGAAATCCTCATAGTTTATGGAAGTCCATTAAGTTTTATATCTATTGCCGTGATCTGATGTTTTTCCGGGTTGGGTTTTCCTATACCAGATTTGTGTTATTGTTTAACGAGCGTTTGTCCACCAGGAAATAATAGCAGCATGTGACTGTGACTATATATACTATATTGAAACCTGTGTATGTAATTCACGTGACATAATAAGAAATAAATGCATGATTTTCTTGCGCTGCGTACATGTGACTGGATCTGGCTCAGTGGCTGAAAGTTGCAAATCTGGCCAAGTGCTGAGGGGACACCATATGCATACATGTATTAGGTTATTGCGACATACATTTGTAGTTCTAATTGTTTTATTGACTTTTGTATGTCCTTGAGCGCTTAACAATATCACCAGCAAAGAGTAATATAAACAGTTTATAGTTTCTAGGTAATATCCCTTTCATAATTTCGTTGTATCTGTTCGGAAAGTTCCTTAACAAAGAAAGGCTTAACACGCTCCCTTGTGGCACACCAGTAGAAACTCTTAACAAAGAAAGGCTTAACACACTCCCTTGTGGTACACCAGTAGAAACTCTTAACAAAGAAAGGCTTAACACACTCCCTTGTGGTACACCAGTAGAAGCTCTTAACAAAGAAAGGCTTAACACACTCCCTTGTGGTACACCAGTAGAAGCTCTTAACAAAGAAAGGCTTAACACACTCCCTTGTGGTACGCCAGTAGAAACTCTCTTAACAAAGAAAGGCTTAACACACTCCCCTTGTGGT